TCACAATTAATTAAGTTTTGACCGGAACCCATGTCTTGGGTGATTTTAAACCTTGAAGAACATGAACTTAGGTAATATTTAAGAGTAACTGTGAGTTGGGTTGAGCCGTGTTAGTGCGCTTTAGTTGAGGTTACTTAGTTCCTATTTTTTTAGTATTTTTAAATTAGTTGTGACATGTAGTTTTTATACTTGGTTCAGAGCACTAGTTGGACTTTTACACTCTATTCGAGGATTATATTATTTCGTTTTCAGGTGAGTAGTTTCATGTTACGTATTTTTATAAATGTTTCCCTACCCTAAACTGTTGGAAAATGAAATTGTTGTTTCAAGACTAAACTGTTTTGATAAATTATTATATTATCAATTGAATCAAATTATTTCTGAAACATGTGTGAACTTGGCATACTGTAAACTATTTGTTTTGGTCTCATGTTTATAATGATGAAATACCATATTTTGCGAAACTGATGTGTATTGATTATTGGGACCATGTGTGTATTTAGTCCAGGGAAATCATTCCACTGCTGTATTGATTATTGGGACTATGTGTGTATTTAGTCCAGGGAAATTATTCTACTGTGTGTGGTGACTCTGGCCACTAGGGAACAAATCCGGATTGGGCCGTGATGACTCTAGTGCTCAACGATTGTAAGGAAAAGACCTTAAAAGAAAGCTAGGTGGCCTTCATTCGGATCGTCTTTGAGAAAAGGCCCAGGTGTCACCCTGAGGATGACTCTTAGTTCGGTATTGGATCCACCGGGGCTTATAGCCTTGAGAACTGTGTGCATATTATTTGTTTTTCTTGGTACCCAGAAAATTATTGGTGTTCATGTTATAATCTGTTTTAAGTGAAAAATGTCGTTTATCATGTTTTTGCGAGACATGAGTATTTTAAGCGTTGAATTGTGGAACCTTCTTTTTGAAACAAATTGTATTTACCAAACTATATGCCAATCTAGTTTCGGTGATATATATCTTATTTTGGAATTGAACCCTGTTTTCAAAACTTTATTTACTATCCATGTTGCTACTCACTAAGCTATCAGCTGACTTAGTTGTTTACCATTTCCAAGTGTTAGAAGGACTTAGAGTCGACTCATGGCGTAGCGGGGACTCAATTGCATGGACCTCTAGGGCATTTATTTAATTTTTTTTAGGTTGCTTCGTCGAGTTTTGTGCATATATTGTGGTTGGGTTTTATTTAGAATTATTTTATTTTGTGGGCGGTTTGTGTCCCATTTAGTATATATATATTTTTAGGAAGTTGGTTATGACTTGTTTTTCACTTGTAGCATGTCACTGGATTGAGTTTTGGTTATTTATTATTGGACTATTGTTTAATTGTTCAAGGTGATATTGAATGCGTGTTTAGGCTTACGTGTGCCTTGGGCTAAGGCCTTGTGGGCCACGGCCGGTCATACCCAGGTTTGGGGTGTGACAGGTGTCGAGCCCTCCAGTTAATACTGGTAAAAATGATAGATTACAAGTGTCGAACCTTTCAGTTAATACTGGTAAAAATGACAAATTGGTAGTACTTGTATAGTCTACTTGTAGACACCAATCTAAGGATTACTTGAGTCGTATTTACCATCTTGAAATTTTATTGAAATTGTTGGATTAATTTGTTTTTAAATTGGCATTGTACATAAGATTTTCAAAAAATGAGAAAAATATTTTGAGCATGACATGGCATATGCATTTATCTCATAAGAGTGTGTAAAATGGGTTTGATGAATTGCTTAATTATTTGATTCAATTGATAATGAGATAATTGAATGAATTGAAAAGGATGTCCTGTTGCTATTAAAACATGTTTATTTATTTAAGTTAATTTTTTGTGGTTAATTAAATAAATTGGATTTAAGAGATTATGTAATAAAATCATATGATTTTGACATAATATGATTTCACGTATATATATGAGTATTTTGGTACCCGCATATCTTCTAATGTTTTAATATGAGATTGCTGGGTGAGCTAGTGGTTGCTCACCCTTTGCCTGTACATGTGTACAGTGAATGCTTTTCGGATTTGAAGATCAAACAATGGTTTTTACCGTTTCATAAGTTTAATGTAGTGATGGATTGTACTACTTCATTTGTTGTTTGGCTGAGTGCTATTTTTGTGTAAAGAGTAGTGTTCTCTCTTTTATTGTAAGCCTCAGGACATTTCTTTTATTTGTATGTAAATGTCATTGTTGTATAACGAGAGAGAATATGTATATTTAATTATTCATCATTTCATCCAAAGATGAAATGTTATTTGTAAATGGACTTAATTAATGAATATTGGTAAGGTTATCCGAGTAATAAAATACGGGGCGTTACAAAGGCATTTTTGTTTTTGTGGGTACATAACTTGGAATATTTGGATTGGATAAAAGTTTGAAATGATTGTCTATTTCTGAAACCATCATTCCCTGCATTCATCGAAACATAATTCACCTTGTCCATGTTGAAACTATCTGATTGGAATAGTCGATATCAGCAGAAGTTTGAATTTGTTTTTCTTATATATGCCTCTAGTTTGAATACCCTGAAATACTTGCCGAGCTGAAGGTAAAGTCTTTATAGTCAATTGCTTCTTATAGCCCACATGATTTTAAAATATATCGATTTCTTCCCTAAATGCTATGAGCATTGCCGTGCATGCTTTTGGAGAACAAAATTGTTTATTGAGGGGAAAACACTGAGGTTGTGATTGGATCCTAGATTTGTAGAGGACTCCTGATAGACAATTGGATAAGGGTGTGGGATATATGGCCAATACTTTCCATCAGACACCTATTAAACCGTTTAATTGCTATAAAATGATTAAAATGGGACATTATTTTATCTTACATAATAGATTAAAAATATAAAAATATATATTTTTTTTAACAGAGTCTGTGTATCCATAAATTTGAGGTTTGATTGGTCCGATTTCTAGATATGCTCCTACACTTGACATTCGTATCTGAGTTCATGTAACATATTGTAATGTGTTATATGAGTTACATATGTATATACAAAATGTGACATTCAATATTAACTTGTAGAAGATCGTGTGAGCATCATTGGAGCACATTTAACCGCTTCATCTGAGGCTCCAGTGGCAAAACCAGCGGGAATTCCAGTTAGGACTCGCCCGCTTATCACAACTCATGTCTTGGATGTTGCTCATGGGTCTCCTGCATCTGGTATTGATGTACGATTAGAGATGTGGAGAGGCAATCAAGCCTGCCCAACATTTGGTGAGAATGTGTCACCACCCAAACCGCCCCTATGGGTTTAGCATTGTAACCGTCCAGTAATCCTGGGATTACCAAAGGCCTATTGACAGATTAACATATAGTTAGGGGCTGCGGAAGAAAATATACAACATATACAAAATATACAAGCCCAATGAGCTGTGATGACATACATGGGACGAAATAGTTCAAAACTTTCATAGACTTTCGGGTGAAGTCAAAGGATATAATATTTACAGATCACACAGGCGTACATGATAAAAATCTCACCCACAACTTAACAAACAACATAGTCTACTATGATTACAAAAACAACCACAAAACTTGACTTCATCCGGAACCTCCTCGGGAGGCTCAAAGGTTGGCTGACAAAAACTGAAACTTAGGCCGTCAACCCTAGGCCTGATCACGTGCCTGCTCACCTACATACATTATATAAATAGTGAGCTGAAGTCCAGTGAATAATAACATAGTAAAGGGGTTTAATTAATGTTGTCCATAACAGTTATAGAAAACAGAATTCAATAGTTATCAGAAATGGATTCATATTCACGTTCAAAAATCATAATTCATAGTAGACACAGATTCAGAATCATATTCATAATCAGAAGTTGCAGTTAATCATAAGTGGTACATTCATTAGCACTAGCAGAAATAGTTGACCCATGAAGGGACGGCCATAAAGGCATACAGTTGATTCACGTGCACGGAGACGGTACAGTTGGCTCATGAGATGTACAGTTGGCCCATAAAAGGACGTATACATAAGGATCCATAACAGTTGGCTCATGAGACGTACAGTTGGCCCATAATTAGGACGTAACAGAACAGATAACAGATGTCCTTTGAAGCTAAGAATGCCACGAATATATTTCAAAACATTGGACAACTATTCATTCATACAGAAACAGATTTTTCAGAAATAGATCATCTTATATCATTCAGAAAGTACTTATAATTGAACATAGCTTTACAAAGTTATTACTCACAGTTGGCTTCGGGTGCAGACAAATAGAGCAGACAGTTAGCTTTACCTACACGAACACATAACAAATACACACTTGAACACACGTTCGAATTATACATAACTTACCTTATTTGTTCTTAGCGTGTTTCTATCCTTTAACCTCATTATGAAGTCTTAATCATGGCCTAGGAATGCTTAGGATGGAATGAGGATGCAAAAATGCACTTGAAAATATTTTCCAAAACTTGCTGAAAACAAGGTCCACGCTCGAGCGGACATGCAAAATGTGAAAGTTCGCTCGAGCGTGACTTCTATCGCTCGAGCAGACTGTAAACTTTGGAAAAATATTGGTTGCATGTTTTTCACGCTCAATGGACGCTCGATCCCCGCTCGAGCATGAGACTCAGACCCTCGCTCGAGCGTGGATTCCTTCGCTCGAGCGGACTGTAAAACATATGAACTTCTGGATACATGCATTTCATACTCGAGCGGGTATCATGCTGCTCGAGCGGAAGTGCATGCATTCAGAGTGCTCGCTCGAGCGTGAACTTCTGTAAAGACCCAAATAAAAATATAAAAAATGTGGTGGTGGAAAATTATTTGAGAGGGTTGCTCACTTTCGGTGGAAGAAAAAGATTAAATAGAAAATAATGCACTCTCTTGTCTCTCTCTCGTAAAGGAATATAAAAATGAGGGAGTGGATGTGTTATCATGAAAGGGGAGACACACAGGTGCGCATGCATGTGATGTAGCTATCCAATGTCTGGACCTTGGCAGATTAACTTTAGCTTTAGTTAATTTTTTTTTGAGAGAGGAGATCAAGACACAGAGTTACAGAGTTGGCAAAGGCTCGGAAGCTGAAGCTGGAGAACTCGAAGCTCGTTAAGGTTTTTGCTGATCTCTCACAGAACTACACGACTCTGATCTCCAAACCTGCGTATCGGACTCTGTTTGACTCCGATGCGAGCTCGATTGATGAATCATTGCTTAGACAGTTCGAGAAGGAGGTGAAGGAACAGATCATGGATTATTCTATTCCTCTGCTGTTTCCTTTTATTACCACTCTACATATTCGCAACCCCGGTTCTGCAGCTCCTCGGACAGCCAGACGACGTGGTGGAGATGGCGGGACTGGTGGCTGTGTGGCTGATTCCGTTATACTTCAGCTTCGCATTCACGTTCCTAATTCAGAGATTCCTGCAGAGTCAACTGAGGACTGGGGTGCTGGCTTGGGTATCATTAGTGGTGCTGTTGATTCACGTGGTGGTTAGTTGGCTATTTGTATATGTGCTCGATTTTGGGGTGGTCAGAGCCGCCGTGACGTTGGATGTGTCATGGTGGTTGCTGTTTGTGGGGATGTTTGGGTATACTGTGTGGGGTGGATGTCCGGATACTTGGAGTGGTTTCTCAATGCAAGTGTTTGCTGGGCTTTGGGAGTTTGTTAAGCTCTCTGCTGCTTCTGGTGTCATGCTTTGTTTGGAGAATTGGTACTACAGAATTCTGATATTGGTGACTGGGAATCTAGAAAATTCTACTATTGCTGTAGATGCTTTGTCTGTCTGCATGAGCATTAATGGGTGGGAAATGATGATTCCTCTAGCCTTCTTTGCTACCACAGGCTGCCCGAGATGTGGTGATTGCTTCTGCAACGTGTAGGAAATGGTGAGAAACTTCGCGCAAGCACCTTCAAACACTTTCATTCAGTTCTGATGATTAGCCTGTTTATCGCGATCTCAGTAGGAGTCGGCTTGAAATCTTGATTGCATAGACTATATTTCAAACAACAGGATTACAACGCTTATATATATTTATGGATGATGTTGATGAGTTTTCGACTTCCACAGTTATTACTTGGCTCATTTATACTAGGGAAACTTTATGCCAATTGATTTATAATGTCCGGACTGATGATGTTGATGAGTTCTCGGTGTCGAGTTTGGATGTTAGTCGTAGCTCCGGCTAGTGTTGTTCAAGATTTCCATTTTCATTGCGGGTGATGTTCGCAGTTTCGGATTAACTTTTCTTCATATTTGAGGTAGGAATTTTCTTTGAGTTATATATACATTTTTGCAAGATCTAGATGATTTTGAAATCATCCTTTGATTGACTTTGAAAATAGGTAGTTGATTCAAGAAGATAGTAATTTTTGAAAGTGGATTTACTTTCTTGTTTTCCTTTTAAAAAATAGAAATTGAGGGTTTTTGAATTATGTTGGTGAAAGAAAGATGTTTTTGGTGAGATCTTCTCAAATATTTGAAGATTTGAAGATGAATGGTTTTTAGTGAGAAAACCTAGAAATTGGGGATTTTTAAGAAAGATGTTGAAAATCTTTAGAATATGTTGTTATATTTATTTTGTATGCCAAAATAAATTATGCTTGAAAATTGTTTATTTATTCCATATAAATGATGGTTTTCCATGGAATAAGATAATTGTTGAAGTTTTGGAAATTGTTGTTTAAAAGTGTTGATATAGTTTTGAAATGACTAAGTTGTTAGAAATGTTTGAAATGCGGGAATTTTGTTATCCCTTGGATGAATTGAAATGAAAGTATTTATTCATCTTGTGAAATTGCATTGGCATATCAATTCATTTGATAACGAAGAGTTTTGAAATTTGATTTGAAAACTTTGCATTTAGAAAAGAAGGTTGATAAATAAGTTTTCATGAAATGGTTTTGGGGTAAATATGGTGGTAAGTCTTGACAGGTGGTGTAGAGGATAGGTGTCGAGCCTTCTAGTTAATACTGGTAAAAATGACAAATTGGTAGTACTTGTATAGTTTACTTGCAGGCACCAGCCTAGGGATTGAAAGGTGGTGTAGATGATAGGTGTCGCGCCTTCCGTTTGATACCGGTAAAAATGACAAATTGGTAGTACTTGTATAGTCTACTTGTAGACACTGACCTAGGGATTACCAGAGTTGTATTTACGCCCTTTGAATAAAATTTGATAAATGCTGAGCAGTTGAAATTGCATGACATCATTGAGCATGATGGTTTTCAAAAAGATGAAGGTGCTTTTACTTTAAAAAATGCATGGCATAGAATAAGCATTCCATCTCACGAGACTTGTATAAAATGTATATACTTTGTTAAGAATTTCCTACTGGGCTTTATGCTCACCCTACGGGATTTTTTGTGCAGGAAAAGATGTGGTGATTCTGTCTAACTGAAGGCGTGGAAGGGTGTGCAGAGAGCATAATGTGCTCATTTGCTGTGACTCTGATTGTAAGCCAAGGGCTTTGTATGTGTGAGTTTGAATAACCATTTTGTGTAACCAGACTCAAGCCTTGGAAACTTGTAAACTCTTGGGGGTATTTTTTTGTTTAATTAATTGTTGTTAGATTAACTGTATTATCACATAAAGACTATTTACGTCATGTAATACAAGTATGAGGATTTATTATCAATTTTATTTTGAAGGGCCATGATTATTGTATTACCATTTGGGCATGAAAATTGGGGCGTTACAACTTCTACACTCGAGCGTGGATTCAAATTTTGGAATTTCCAGATTTGATTCCCAAGCTTCAAACTCAAACCAAACACTTCAAAACTCAACATTTTGGGCCAAAACTTTAGGAAACTCATAAAACAACATGTTTTAAGGATCATTTCAAGAAATCATGGCCCAATGACATGCCAATTGCACAAAATTTCAACTCAAGATTTATGTATGATCCATAAACAAGACATGCATGCATTCCTGTGAACTTAAGCTCCTCAAAACATGATCAAATGCTACAAAACAACATAAAACTCAATGATTTTCCAAAATTAAGGTGAATTCAAGACATGCATGAGGGCATTCTTTGAAAACACTTTCAAAACTTCATGAAATGCACATGCAAACATAAATTTATTCTCAATTCCAATCTTTAGCTCAATTCTCATGACAATCCACCTACCTCACTTGATCCCATGCATTAATCAACTAAATTATAAAACTAGAGGCTAAAATTCTTACCTAAGATTCTCAATTCCTTATAGTTTAGAGATATTCTTGAGCAATCCTCCAAGTCCCCTAGCAATTCTTCCAAACTTCAAGCTTGATCTTAACTCTCACTCTCTACTTCTCTCTTTCTCACGTTTTTCTCTTGGAGGCTCAAAGATGGTAAGAAAACAAAAGGCTCAAATGAGGTGTATAAGCCTTATGTAGGCTTAAGTGGAAGTATAATTAAATAAGGCCAAATAAATAGACATTAAATTAAATTAATCTAATTTAATCGTTCCGAATCGGATTTCAATTAAACCTACCATAAAATTCTAAAAAATTCTAATTAACACATAAGTAAAGCCAATTTCTGAATCAGATGCCGATAAGGCTTTCAATTCGCAAACCAAAATTAAAACATGGACAGATCTTTCTATGCTAAATAGATATAAACACAGATAATGCAACAGACACATGCAAATTAATTCAGAATTCCTCCTTAATTACTATTAGGCATAATTAATCATGGGTTAATGTTAATCATGGGTTGGGGTTGTTACAGAATGAAACAGGCAATTAGGTGTTTCAAGGGTCTTCAACCACCGACAAAGATGAACGAAGCGGTCAGCTGATGAGTATAGTTGATGCTTTGAATCCGGGGACATACCGAATAAGTTTCAATACGGGACAATATTCACCAGTGGTTTCTTTCCTTTCGTCTCAATTGTGTTTGAAGTTAGGGAGTTGCAAAAGTGGGAACATTTTCATGTTCCTTTGTTGTTTTCACCGTTATCTTTCACCACTTACCATGGAAGCTAGAATTTGTGTCTAGTCGTTGGCAAATGAAACGTATACAATTTGCATATTTATCCATATTTATACTGTATATATAAGTTTGGATGTGTTTGTGTTTGTTTTTTTTTGAAAATTCTAATGCATGGACAAAAGTACCCTTGTCTAAAAATAATTTTAAGGCATGATGAAAGGAGTTGTAAGTCTGGCTTATGGAACACGTAAGCGTCCATATTCAATAACATCCTATAGTAGAGTCACATGTGGCCATGTTTGATTATCTTCACGAGTTATGAGGTTGGGTTAATAATATGGTAGGCGGTAATACTGCTAATACCTGGGGGTCGGGTTAGGCTGACCATTGCTTCCAACGTCGTTCGCAGGTCACTGAGCCCACCGGAGTGCCTGCACGAATGCCCAGCAAGGAATAAGAGTCCCTCAGCGAACCCTCCGACAATAAAGTTAGAAGATGGAGAAGTTAACAGTGAGTAGCGAGAGAATAATGATAAGGAACTTAACCTTTCTGTGTCATGGAAGCCTCCTTATATCCTTTGTTCATCATTTCCTTGTCCACTTCGACATGTCATGTTGACCGAAAGTCTACGCTCTAGCTTGCCTTGTTCATGGTGAGGCTGCCTATTCCGACGTGAAGGGATTATCGCATTTAATACTGCAGAGGCCTCATTAATGACTGATGTTTGGTGCAATAACTCTACAGGATCTTTGTCTGCTTAGGTGGCTAGTCCTCCTCTTGGCAAGTATTTAGATGCCATTGGTTCTTGGTGCAACGTTGGGCTTCGGTAATGTTGGGCTTTAGTACTTAAACCGTGGATTAGGCTCTAAGTGGTGGGCAAAAGCCTCTATGGGCCCACCGATGTTAGTAGGCCCTCATTCCCAAGTGTAGCTTCAACCCAACGAAGGGAATAAGAAGGAAGACGGGGATTGTGTTTGTGCGAGTAAGAGAAACGCCGACTGCAAAGGGGGACTGAGCGAGAAGACCGAACGAGAGGAGGATCGACCGCAAAAAGAGGACCGAGCGAGAGAAGGGCTGACCGCAAAAGGGGCCGAGCGAGGAGACCGACCGAGAGGAGGGGCAGCCACGAAGGAGGATCAAGCGAGAGAAGGGCCGACCGCAAAGGGGGCCGAGCGAGGCGACCGACTGAGAGGAGGGGCGACCGCGAAGGGGGACCGAGCGAGAAAGTGGTGGTACACGGGGCTCGAGGAGTAGTGGGGCACGTGGTGATGTGAAGCGAAATAGACAAGGAAGGGGAAAAGGGTAATGAATCTTGGTTGTACACGTGGCATGATCCAGTGAGAAGGGAGGTGATGCGTTAGCAGGAAATGAAGGAGTAGGACTACTATAGGACGTGGAAAAGGCGGGGGCGGAAACTTTCAAAATTTTTTAAACTAGTGAAATTTAATCTCGATCCTTGGAATATAGGCAAATCGTGGGCATTTGGAGTTATTCGTTTTACTTACCTCTTCGCAAAAAACCAACATATCCTAGAGTTGAACTCATTTGTTTCGTGTGACACACCTCTCCAATACTTTGCGAACTTCCTTATGCCTGTGTCCAAAACGATACGCAGATACGTAGAAGGAAAGGCTCGAGATGAAGTGCCAGCCATGAGGCTAGAGGCATTGGGGGAGGACGACGCAGTGGAGTTTGCTGAACAATACAGAGCAGAGAGGCAAGAGGAAAGAGGAGTGGAGCAAGCGGCGTGGGCTCGCCCATCGATAATGATCGTAGCTGCAAGACCAATTAACCAAGTGGAACCGAACCACTGGCACATGAAGGCCGACAAGTCTACGTTCACAGTGGAGGAGTTGGAGGTGGTACGGATGAAGTATCAGATTCCGGGGGAGATAGAGCTGAAGTTGTCCACGTCAAAAGAGAGGGCGTCGGATGTGCGACCGACGAAATTTACGTTGTACGAGGAAGCGTTGCGGGGGGGGGCTGAGGTTGCAGCTTCCCCAAATAGTGGTGGACGTACTGAACCGACTGGATGTAGCGCCGGGGCAGCTGATGCCTAACGCGTGGAAAATATTGATGGCCTGCGCGATTGCATGGCCACAGGCGATCGAGGGGGCAACGATCACAGTGAATGAATTCTTTTCTTGTTACAAGGCCTTCGATCGACAGGAAACATGAGTGACCTTACAAGCGGTGGCGGGCCAAGGACTAGTGGCGGGCTTACCATCATCGGTGAAAGGGTGGAGACCGAGATGGTTCTATGTATCGGCAAATGGTGGGAGGGGGTTTCGTACAACGTGGAAAGTCCCCACGAAGTCAGTTGTGCCAAGGCTAGAAACGGAGGCTGAGAACAGGGTGAAACGGGTTAAGGAGTAGAGAGAGAAGAAGGGTACGAAGTGAGACGACCTGATCCGACCTTCAGCCCTATTTTCCTTGAGCCTGTGGCCACAGCTGACTGAGGAGGATCTTGCGCGGGAGGAGTTGGAGGCAAGGAAAAAGGCAGAGGAGGCGAATGAGCGAAAAACGTTCGCCAAGGCGGACAGATGTAAGGAATTGTAGTTGGGGCCTGCGCCTAAACTGGTGATAAGGGAGCTAGTTCGACCATGGCCCAAACCGTTGGGAGACAAAGATCTGACCGAATTTGCGCCACTACCACTCCCAGTAGACCCGCTTAAGGAGAGGGGCAAGCAGGAGGAGGAAGCGGTGTGAAAGAAGAAGAAGAAAAAGAGAATGGCGGCAGAGGAAGGTGAGAGGGGTCCGCTGTTGAAGAAGAGGGAGGAGGGGAGGACGGAGGAAATCCTAGAAGTGGAGGTATGGGAGATAAAGGCAGTAGGAAAAGAAGTGAGGGGCCTAAGTGTCCAAATAGGGATGGGCGCTGTGGAGCCAGAGCAAAGGGCGCAACCACTCAAGATGGGGCCTGTAGTGGAAGTGGCCCTAAGACCTGCAGAAGGGAAAACGGGGGTGAGTAGGCTAGAGATGGGTGTCGCGTTAAAGACCGCCATGTACCATGTGTGCGCGGTGGCCGGTCGATCGGCAGAAGAAAGGGGGGAAGCCAGAGTCGCAGCCGACTGTCTCGTTGGAGTGGTAAAGGATGCGGCCGTGCAGTCGATGGCTCGATTAACAAAGGCCGACCTCCTGAGAGGGTTCTGCCCAGCGCAGATGGAGACGGCGACCCTGGTTGCTGCCTTGATGAATAAACCAGTGTACACGAAGGTGGAGGCAGAGCCGCTAAGGACCTAGCTGGAAGGGGTGAAGACACAGCAGTAAAACCTAACGGCTGAGACTTCGAGTTGGATGAAAGTCGCAAGGAGCGCGTGTGCCAAAGGGTTGGAGTACGCGCAGAGGGCAAAGAAGATGGAGGTATTGGTGGTGGTGCAGAGCTACTTGGCAGAGCGTGCTGCGGTCGAGCTCGTCGCGACCAAATTAAAGCTAAAGCGGTGCGCCACAAGGTGATATCGCTAGAGTTCGAGTTGGCAGGCGAGCAGAGGAAGCTAGGCGTGGT